TAGAAAACCGGATTTTTAAATTGTTCTGAGTAAGCAGCGCCCCCATGCGTCCAATTTGCATCAGTAGCGGTCAGTAGTGCAGTTGTCATTGTCAAGGCAACGTCTTCGGGTTCTGCTCCGTCTATGTTTCAAAGAATTCCTCGGTTTTTGGCCATTTTTGCAAAAAAATTTCGAGTTTTCGGAAAAGGGAAGCTTTCTTTATCGTTTGGTTGTTTTATAAGTGCGATTTTGCTGAAATAAACGCGATTTTTCAAAGTGCTTAAATTCTGACGTTTGCTATCAGTTAAAGAAAGATGTGTTTTTGAACTGTTCAGGACTTTTCGAAGTTTTCTTCGGCGTTTTGAGCTATTTGCAACCTTGAATGGACTGACGCCCAGGGATTCCGACCATTGAAGCTCTATGGTAAATGATATTTTTTTTGTTTAATAAGTTCTGCAAGACCTGATTAATATGGTTTTTTAAAAATCAAAAGATTTGGTAAAATTTCCTGTATGAATCAAGCTTCATTAAAAAAAAAACTGATTAAGCAGAGCCCCCACACGTCCAATATGCATCAGTAGTCGAATTGTCACTGTCAAAGCAACATCTTCGCGTTTTGCTGAGTCTATATTTAAAAAAAAAGGTCGGTGTTTGGCAGATTTTCTCAAAACAATGTTAAGTTTTCAGATAAGGAGACTTTTCTTTATCGTCTGGTGGTATTTTTGCGACTGTAGGTGCGATTTTGTTTAAATAAACGCGATTGTTCAAAGTGCTTGAAGTTTGCTGTCAGATTAAGGAGAGCTTTTCGTCTGAAAATTGAAGAAAGGTGTTTGCTCTCAGTATTTATTTGAACTGTTCAGAACTTTTCAAAGTTTTCTCCAGGGTTTGGACTAACAACCAGCGATTTGCGGCCCTGGAAGTGGATGCAACAATAAGCTTTATGGTAAATAACATTTTTCTATTTTAATTTAAAGCTCTGCAGGGATTGATTAAAGACGTTTTTGAAAAAGAAAAAAAAATGATCAAATTTCCTGGAACGACTTATTTATATTTTTTAAAAGACCTGATTTAAAGTTAGAAAGCCGGATTTTTTTTAATGTTTTGAATAAGCAACGTTGCCATACGTCCAATTCACATCAGTAGTCGAGCTGTTACTGTCAAAGTTTCATCTTGCTCAGTTCAATCAGCAGTTGTTCGCAAAAAAATGTCGAGTTTTGGGAAAAGGGAAGTTTTCTTTATCGTTTGGTTGAATTCCTGTCAGTAGTGCAGTTGTCATTGTCAAAACGACATCTTCGGGTTCTGCTCCGTCTATGTTTCAAAGAATCCCTCGGTTTTTGGACACTTTTCGCAAAAAGATGTCGAGTTTTCGGAAAAGGGAACCTTTCTTTATCGATTGGTTGTATTATCGCGGTTGTAAGTGCG